TGGTATTTCTGCCATGGAGAGGGCTCAGCCTGGTGGCCATGGCGTGGGTGGGCCCCTGGTGTGTGCATGGCCCCACGCATCCCTGGTAAGTCCTTGCAGGTTGTCTTCTTTGCACCGACTAGGGCAGATGGAGCTCCAAGTGCTCAGCAAGGTCTAGCCTACATGACATTGCTGTTGTCTAAGACCTTGAAAGTGTTTTCCTGACAAAATCTTTTATAAACTTGTGGAAACTTAACATCTAGATCTACCTTTGGTATGCTTTTGTCTGCTGCTACTGAAGTTATTTTGAGTTTGGTTTTTTTTTCTGGCTGCTTTCTGGTAGCATTTCTGAAGGGGCTGTCACTTGGCAATGAAGGCGGCACATTTGAAGATCCTTTGTGGACTTGCCTTGGCACAGCAGGCCCAGAATGCTTTGCAAGCACAAAGCAGAATTTCCCAAGCCTCCCTTCACTGGCTGTCCAGTCCTGTCCCTGGCTGTCGGGAGGTGGTGTGATAAATGCCCAGTATGCACTGGTTTGCCTTTCTTTATCCTTGAACTGTACCTCCAGGAAGCAGCAAAGAAGGGCAAATCAGAGGCAGGGTTGGGAAGTTGGACATCCCTGGCCAGACGTATTCCAGTGAGAGAGAGAGAAAGGGGATGCCAGTGCAGAGCAGTATGAGCTGAGCCTGCATGCAGCTCACTGGGGATTCCTTGCTCACTGTCTTTATGGGGTTTGGTCCACAGACATGAAAGTCACACCTGGAGCTTGGAGCGGACTGAGAGCTTGACTTCAGATTCCCAGTCTGGGATAATGCTGTCCTCGGTGGGAACCAGTAAATGCAACAGCCCTGCGTGTGTTGAGGCGCGGGCTCGCCGCGGAGCCGCCTTCTGCATTGAGGACTCACGGAGGCCCATGACACAGTATCGTGACTCAGTGGATTCTCTGCGGGACTCACCACACAGCGAAAGGTCAGACCCCACTGCTTGGTGTCACCTAGGCACATCAGAGCCGAGCCGTACTGTCTGTGCCAGACACAATAATGTTTGCCTCTCCCCAGCCCTAGAGCAGCAGTCCTGTGGTAGCACTGGAAAAACTTCAGCTGTGTCCTACCAGAGGAAGCCACTACTCCAGGAGGCCACTCTAGTAGGGGCAGCAGAAAGCATCCTGCTCACCTGATTTGGAGCACAGGGATGAGAGGAGCTGGAAATACCAGGCTGCAGTCAGCAATTGATGAAGATAAACTGGCTGGGAGCACACCCTGGGCAGCTTGGTGGGCTGGCAGCACAAGCAGGGTCTAGCCCTCAGGTGTATGGGAAAAAGATGTATGTCTTTAGTGTAGTCTGGGTGGCCTGGTGAGCAGGGGTGCTGTAGGTGGGCACAACCTTGGGACAGGGCTCTCTGTGACCCAGCCTTACAGGGAACACAACTGCGGAGCTGAGACTCCATCAGCCAATGGGAGGCAGTAACACTCATCCTCCTCCCAGGTCTGGTTCCTCATGGTGCAGAAGCACCTCTCCACCTTTGCTCCAGCCCTTCGTGGGTAGCCATGGATGACCCTGGGTGGCCACATGGCCACTTTTGGGCAGCTACTTTAGGGCAGTGGGACTTGTCTGGGGAGGAAAAAGTCAACATCACTCTCTCATTCTTGTCCCTGCTCCATTCAGGCAGGCTGACCCAGCTCATACAGACATCTCATACTTTGCAAGACACATAGGTAAAAATGCACCAGACGAGCCAGGGAGCCTGGGCAGCCTGACGTGGGTGGGGACACTAATTGGCACTATTGAGGGAAAATTAAATCTGCTCTTAAGAAAGAGGTGATGCTGAAGGAAGGGCTGTCTGGAGAGGGGCTAAACCAGGCCTGAGTTGCCACACTGATGTTGTCACTAGAGTAGATGAAAGCAGTAGATATACCTTTTTGAGACACAGAGTTTTGTTAAGTTAGAGGAAGTAACGCCCCAGGCTTTCCCATCTGTGGCCTGAGTAGGGGGAGGGCATTTCAGGAATCTTCCTCAGAGATGAGCTTGGCAGCTCCAGAGGGAACAGAAGGCAGCTGGCAGCCAGACGAGAGGCAGGGAAGTCTTGACTCTGCCTGCTGGGAGATGCTGCAAGGTTTGCAGTGGTGCAGTGGGAATTGCACACTGAGTCCCTTGGGAGAGAGGCAGTCCTCGGATGCACTGTGCCCAAGCACCCACTGAAGCCAGCAGCTCATCCTCCTTCAGCACAGGGGTGCCAGGTCCCTCTGCTTGGTTCCCCGGGAGATGCCAAGCTCCCGGACCAGGTGCACTGGAGGCCTCATGGGTCCTTGGACCAGGTGTTCGGCAGAGCGCTGGCACAGCTGGAGCCTTTTGGGGTGGGTCAGTGTCCAAACGGAGGTGTTGCTTCTTTCAGGTACGTGTCAGCCCTGACGACACCAGCACGCCTGTCTCCTGTTGACTTCCACTACTCAATGGCCACGCAGGTGCCCACCTTTGAGATCACCTCCCCCAACTCAGCGCACGCCGTCTCCCTGCCGCCGGCGGCCCCCATCAGCTTCCGCGTGGAGGAACAGCAGCCCCTCCTGCGGCGGTACCAGCTCCCTTTCCAGGACACGCAGAGGTACGACAGCTACTACCAAAGGAAGACCTACCTAAACGACAGCATGGGAAGTCTGCCCTCCAGCCCCTTCCGCATCACGGAGGACGACGAGTATGAGACGACGCAGGAGTACGTCACAGCGCTAGAGCAGCCAAAGAAAACAGCCAGCAGCAACAGGCGGTGGAAAAAATCCAAACTGAATGGGCACGTCCCTCACAGAGCCAGAGCCGTCCGGGACTCCTTCTCCTTGAGCAGCGCCTCTTACAGCGAGTCTGACGAGGAGCTGGTGGCCGAGAGCACGCCCTTCCTAAGCACTCAGAACAATGAGGCGGCACACACAGAGTCGCCCCCG